CAATAGTTGTGTTATTTTTGAGCAGCTGATCTCAAAATGTGGTCTCCAGACCAACATAATTAGCCTCACCTGGGAATTTAGAAAAGCAAATCCTTGGACCTCACCTTAGATCTACTAAATCAGAAAATTTGGAGTTAGAGCTGAGCAATCCTTGTCTAGATTAGCCTTCCAGTAATTTGATTTGTGTCAAAATTTGAGAATCACTGTTTAAGGATCACCTATGCATTGGAAACTGATTTTTGTGACCTTATCCATAATCCATTTCTGTTACAAGAGTCATATTACTGTTATGTAAGGTCTGGTAGAGATATTCATAATAAATCTCAGTAACATCAACAGTGTTGTCAGTATAAATGTGTATAATACAGTTTAGCCTAAATAGTCTTGGCTAAAAACTCTTTGCATAACATTATTACTAATTATGGATAAAGAATGATAATACAAAACTTTGTACACTATAGCCATTGATATCTGTAAATAGATTAATTGGAGGCATCTTTTTCTGGATCATCTACATATGATCACACTCAAGATTATAGATAATAGGTAATGCAAACTGCTAAGACAGTTTATTTGCCTGGTATTTTAGTTTCTTTCCTCTTTAAGTGATGCTTCTTTTGTGTAGTGTGCAAATTACTTACTTGACCTTGCAAGTAGTACACTGGTGCACTTTTTATAGGAGAAAAGGCCAGCAGTGTTGATGGGAGTGGTATCATCAGCTTTTCCAGCAAGTGTGAGTCTGTTGTCAGTCTAGACTGAAGATCAATTGTATATTACAAGAGTGGGACTTTGATTTTTGAAATATTCTCTCTGGATAAGACCTTTACCTGGATCAGTAAAGGTCAAATTTGGTTTAGCCAAGGGGTACTGAAAGAATGTCTTATAATTTTGTTATGATACCTAGTACATAAAAATACAGCCTTTTTCATTTAAGACATTTTCAAATTTACAGACTTGAAGTAAATGCGTCTTAATATATTTGGCTCAGCAGTCTGTGGGAAACATTTCTGGTCACTTCTTATCTAGCTGCTCCAATCTAGGTTATGTTTCCCCTACATGTAATCACCCATTCCTCCCTATCCCACTGTACCATGATTACTTCTGATATGGTATTTATGAGACTATATTATCCACACTACTTAACTGTTTATATTTCTAACACAACTGTAATCTCTCTGAGGGCAGGAATTATTATTTACCAATCTTTCTATTCCCTCACCTAGTATACAGTAGTTATTTGATAAGTATTTGTTGTTGAATATAATGAAGTGAATCTGTGATATGAACAGCAACATAATCATCCTCTTTTCAATATTTATTTATTTATTTTTTATTATGTTCAATTAGCCAACATACAGTACATCATTAGTTTTTGATGTAGGGTTCAATGATTCATCAGTTGCGTACAATACCCAATGCTCATCACCACACGTGCCCTCCTTAATACTCATTACCCGGTTACCTCGTTCCCTCACCCGCTCCCTTCTGTAACCCTCAGTTTGGTTCCTGGAGTCCAGAGTCTCTCATGGTTTGTCTTCCTCTCTGATTTCTTCCCATTCAGTTTTCCCTCCCTTCCCCTGTGGTCCTCCGCATTATTCCTTATGTTCCACATATGAGTGAAACCATATGATAATTATCTTTCTCTGCTTGACTTATTTCACATAGCATAATCCCCTCTAGTTCCATCCTTGTCGATGCAAACGGTGAGTGTTCATCCTTTATGATGGCTGAGTAGTATTCCTTTGTATATATGGACCACATCTTCATCCATTCATCTGATGAAGGGCATCTTCGCTCCTTCCCCAGTTTGGCTATTGTGGACCTTGCTGCTTTGAACATTGGGGTGCATGTGCCCCTTCTTTTCACTACATCTGTATCTTTGGGGTAAATACCTACTAGTGCAATTGCTGTGTCTTAGGATAGTTCTATTTTTAACGTCTTGAGGAACCTCCGTACTGTTTTCCAGAGTGGCTGTACCAGCTTGCATTCCCACCAACAGTGTAAGAGGTTTCCCCTTTTTCCATATCCTTGCCAACATGTTGTTTCCTGTCTTGTTAATTTTTGCCATTCTAACTGATGTCAAGTGGTATCTCATTGTGGTTCTGATTTGAATTTCCCTGATGGCTAGTGATGTTGAACATTTTTTCATGTGTCTGTTAGCCATTTGTATGTCTTCTTTGGAGGAGTGCCTGTTCAATTTTGTTTATAAAATTAATAGATTAATTTGATGATAAGGATTTCATTACAATTTGTTAATGACATAAAACAACTGAGTTTTAGATGAGGTAGGGGACTTTATTAGAGTCCATGAGCATATAATGTAAAGGTTTCCTATCATTTATGATTTCATGACAAAATAATCATAGTTGTCAATCTTAGATTTTAGGCTAGCTTAGTAAGCTATTAAACTTATCAGTGTTCTTAACAATCTGTTCAAGTTTCTTGGCGAAGGCAAATATACTTGGGCACATTTAAGGACAAATCAGTAAATCTTATTTCAGGGAAGAAAGGGTGATATTTACATTTTCACTAGTATTTTTGACCTTTGTTTTTTTCCCTTCCATTCACCCCAGGCTGGCAAGACATTCTGGATTGACAACAGGCCATTCACATGCTCTCATCTAAGAGACCCTCTTATTTCCTTTGAGAGTATCATAATTTTTTGAAAAGTAGTGATATGAGTAACCAAAATAATAAAAGCCTTCAATTCCATTAAACTCAACATTTATTAATAGGCACCTGCATTCTAAGCACTGTGTTTACGAATTCATGTATGATTAAATCCTACTGTCTCAAATGATAAAGTTGTCATTAAGATACTCAGATACTTAATTATATCATTATCACTGAGATACTCAGAGCTTAATGGGGAAGACAAACATGGCTGCAGCAAGTTGAGTTGCTTTATTTGAAATACTATGTTGATTCTTCTATCCTGTTTTACTTGTGATACAACATTCCCTTTCTGTTCTCTCTGTTGTGTTTTTTTGTTTTCCCTTTCACTTCAGTTTGGCATCTTTCTTCATTGTATATTGCTTTGTCTTCTTTAGAGGCACTCACACCTACAAGCCCATTTCCTTTTTGTATGAGATGTGTAATACTAAATTATGCAGATAATCACACAATTTCTGAACTGTTTTTGTTTTTGTTGTTGTTTTTTGCCCCTCTTGGGAATAAGGAAAATGTATAAGTTGGCAGCTGTCCAGATGTTATCACTTAATGGACTGTGTTCTTACCCAGTTCAGGCATATTCATGGTTTACTGCTGCCAACTCAACTATCGATTGATTTGAAACTGGTCACAATTGTCCTAAATGTGATTCTGAGTGTTTTCTAGGGAACCACTCAGGAGGTTAGGAGGCTTGTTCTAAAAATAGGGTTACAGGAAAACAAGACTTGTTACTCCAAGGCTGTTTTCACTTTGAGAGAGATGTTCTGTAGGTTTTTAATAAGCTTATTATCCACTTAGTTTGAGACCCAGGTGCATGGCACATTATCCATTACAATATTCTGAATCTAGTTCTTTAGAATGAGCAAAGATAGCATGGGGAAGGCAAAGAGATTTAGGGCCTTCCTTAGTATGGAATGTCTGATATGTAGGAAAACTTTGAGAGTCTTTTCCTGTACCAGTGAATTGAATATAGTAACCAACTTAGAAGAAGATCATTAATAAGAAATAACAAGTTTCTATAGATGAAAATTTCTATTGATGAGATACTGAATGTGGAGTAAAACAAATATGGAATAGGATTTGATGTTAAAAGAGAAATCTTTGTGGTCAGGGTACTTAATGACAAAAATGTATATTTTTCCAGAAGAATGTTAGGAAAATCTTTTCCTTGGATAATAAACCTGTAGAGCTAGGAAGAAATCTAAGGTAGTATTTTTTCCAACATTCATATTATATAAAAGTGGAATCTGAGACTCGCTCAGATCCCTGACCAATTGTAGAATGATGGAATTTGAGGGGCTCAAAAGGGAACATTATTTAATCTAACTGCCCAACTGAGGCCTGGATCAGTTCTTCACTGAGTACTGGAATGTGCCACTGGAAAGGGCGCCATGTGGCTTCTTTGCTGTCCTTTGATCTGATACGTGAAATCTTCCCTGACATTTTTCTTAAGAGGTAATAAAATTGCCATTTAACAATTCTTATTATTTATGGTAGTTATGTTTTATAAAGTTACTTTGAACACTGCATGAACAAACATACTGAATCATTGCCCTGAGGGGCAATACAGGGTTAGGTTCCTGCCAGCCTCTGGTCACATTTTTGTCAATCAATGCATGTGTGTTTCTGTTTAAAGGCACCTTATTGGGACCCCTGGGTGGCTCAGTTGGTTAAAGTGTCTGCCTTCAGCTCAGGTCATGTTCCCAGGGTCCTGGGATCGAGTCCTGCATCGGACTTCTTGCTCAGTGGGGAGCCTGTTTCTCCCCTCTGCCTGTCCCTCCCCCTTCTTGTGCTCTCTCTCTGACAGATAAATAAAATCTTCTAAAAAAATAAAAAATAAATAAAAGCATCTTATTTAATATGTATTATTGATTCATTAACATTGATGTCATAGTCAAAAGTACTCTAACCCATGTCTTGATGTAGCTTACTTGTGTATTTTCTCTGTAAGGCACATCACGGCCTCCTTGTGCATAAGAACACTAGACAGCACTTCAGTACTATGCTTAGGAGCCATTTTAAACAGCCAAATCACCAACAGAAAGCATGCAAATATGAAATATGTGGCACTAGATAGACTGAGAAAAGAATACTTGCTTACAGTAAGAGAGCTGAAACAAAAAAGCAGCAGGTTCCCATTGCACCACAGCTGGGAACATGTGTGGCCGATGACTCACATTCTTCACAGCTCAGTGCATGCGCATGCCTGTGAAAGACCGTGACTGTGGAAGCATTGTGAGCGTTGATTTTGGGGTTACAGATTTTAGCAAGTAGGTGGATTCACAAATTTGGAATCTGTGCATAATAATGACCTGTACTTTCCAAGGCAGGATATAAATGGAATTGAGGCTGACTACTCAAATCCACCTTTGGATGTCCCCACCTTCCTATGAAGTCTGTCACTGGCTTCTCTATCCCTCGGGACTACAGAAGTAGGCTTAAAATCTTCATCTCCTGTAAGCCATTCAGACATTTGCAGAGAGCTGCCTTCAGTCTTATTTTCTAAGGTATTTTCACCATTTACTCAACTGTATCCTAATCACGATGAGGTTTATAGTTTCCTCATGAGTTTGATAGGACCCTAGGAGACTTCTGACTCTGGATTGATCCCTTGTCCTGAATCCTGTGCCCTGCCCCGCACCCCCCCGCCCCCCGCACGCCATGCAAGCTCACTCACTGAAACAAACCTCCAAGTAGCAGTTACCCAGTAAACATAGATAAAACCTCAAATAAAAGAAAATTAGTCACTTGTGTCTTTCACTTTGTCTTGGGAGAGTCAAACCCCACCTGTTTATTCTGGAGAGCAACATAGTGGAGCAAAGGCCAAGAATTTCTCTCTCTTAAATCCCAGTTACATGTACTTTCTACCACATCGTGCTCCCAGCAAAAGAGTTCTGTAAAATAACATTGAGTTCCTAGTTGAAATTTAAGAATGACCTCAAGAGATTAACCCATTAGAAACATGTTGTTTGTAAAAGAGGAATCTTTTTGTCATCATGGTACTTGATGACAAAATATATGTTTTTCCTTTAATCTAAAATTTAGTTTCAGGTTAAAAAAAAACTTCCTCCTTTTCATTCCCAGACTGGAAACGTGGGTATTTGGACCAGTTTGTCCAGCAGATGTGTTTTGTTGGGCCCACAGATTGTTGCTACTCACAGGGTTTAAGTTATTACTACTTTTTTGAATTAGTGGGTAGCATTTAAAAATCAAGCAATTTCACATAATATTCTGAATTTCTGGCTTCTCTTGAAAAATCAGATGATGCACTGGGCTTACTTTTTTTTTTTTTCTTAAAGATTTTATTTATTTGACAGAGACACAACGAGAGAGGGGACACAAACAGGGAGTGGGAGGGGGAGAAGCAGGCTTCCCAATGAGCAGGGAGCCCGATGCGGGGCTCATTCCCAGAACCCTGGGATCATGACCTGAGCGGAAGACAGATGTGTAACGACTGAGCCACCCAGGTGCCCCTGGCTGGCTTTTCTATAAGGGACTACTTGGTAGAGCTTTGTATTGTCTCCCCAACTCTGAGATTCTCTCTGTCTGATTCCTGCAGTTAAGTTTGTGACTCTTACTTTACCTCCTAAAATAATTGGAATTTTTCATATCACAATGCTATAAAATATTTTCTATCTGTGCAACATATCATAGGATTAAAATGTGTAAAATTGGGTATGGTATTTGGGAATCTTGTTGCATATTATAGGTTGAACATAGTATTCTTACTAATATTAAGTGGGAAGGAAAGCTCTAATTAAGTTTATACGTCATGAATAAAAGCTGTTCCCTTTTGTGCTTCTTATTCTTGGCAGCTTTCAAATTCCTCATTGTCAGTTTTTTCCCTGTAGGTGAGCACTTGGAGGCAAGCTTCAACACCTACCACGCCGTCAGGTGTGTTACAGGAGCAATATTGAAGTCATTTTACATATTCAAAGGTATACCTCCTAGCCACTGTGCACAATGCTCAAGGCATGTTGTTGAGTTTGGGGAGCATAGGTTGGAAGTCTAAAAATCATTGCTACTTTGTTTCTTATTCACTCTCTTCAAAGAATAGCTCTTGTTTAAGCACAACAAAAAGCCTCCAGACAATGGGCAGCAACTCAGTGAAACAGTGGGTGGAGGAGTAAGATCCGGACCTAAAACAACAGCATAGTTGCAGCAGTGGCAGCAGCAGCACAGTCTCAGACGCTCATCAGCCCCTTCCCTCCCTGGGCAGGAACAAGGGGGGGCGGGGGGGGCGGGGCGGGTCCTGCCTTCCTGGCTTCCTTGATTGTATTTTATGGGAACGTTAGGAAATATTTTCTTTTTAAGGCACACCTAATGTTCGTGTTGTCATAGTTTTACTTTTGCTCAAATGTTTCAGTGGGGCAACAAGCATTCCTCGTGATAGAATCCATAGGCCCGCCCTCTCTGGGCCAGATATTCACTACCTTGGTTTTGACATGTACGTAGGTGGATCTTGCTATGACAAGTTCAAACTTCTGATCTGTGAATGCCTTGTAAGGCTTGGCTTTGTGGTTGTGCTTTAGAAATATGTGGTGATGCATATTCATTGGCTTTGTGATGGCGCCATTGCTAGCAAGTCATGTTGGCTCACGGATATTAGCCGTTTACACAATATGATCATTAAATACATGACTGTGATGTCAAAGCCTCATTTATTTTCTTCCCTGTGTCATATTGGAAATCTGCCATTTGTTATGGAAGAATTGTGTGACTCTAACATTTCACCAGATAGGACCACAGATTATATCTCATCCTTTGTTATTAAAAACTTTGTTTTTTCCAAGTGAATGACTGCTTTCTCTTCTGAGCTCATCTAATACCACGTGGGATTCTTTTTCTTGCAGTTGTTCTTAAATATAAACCTCAGTGCCCATCACATACATTCTAAACCACACATGAACATGGAATAATTTTTGCATTATTCTTTGGTTAGAGCCCTCTATTGAACTGAAGTAATCAAATCTATCTAATAGTGCTGGGTCATTCTATTAGGAACAGTGGTCACCAGTCATTTTTCTTGACCCCTACTGCACCAGCTGAGGCTGTTATACTGCAGTAACATCCAGGCTCACAATCACAATTACAGTAGTTTACACAGCAATAAAGCTTCATTGCTTGCTTATGTTATGTCTTAATCGTGGGTCATTCATCACCTGTGGCCCAGTTGTACAGTGTCTTCACTCTGGGAGTGAAGCTGACAGAGCAGCCCCTCTGTGGAGTGCTTGCTGCAAGGCTTGCGACAGAGAGAAAGATGAGAGTTGCTGGATTTACAGTGTCTCCTAAAACTTCTCAGAAGTGGCATATCTTGCTTGGACTCATATTTTACTGTCCAAGCATGTCACATAAGCAAGCCTGACATCAACAGGGCAGGGCAGTACAATTATTTCATAAGGAGGGGCATAAAATATTTGGAAACTGTAATAAGCTCTGTCTTAGTCTACTACTTGGTCACAAAAACTCACTCATCTCCCTTCTGTACCTAAAATATACGAAATGTTAGAGTTCTTCTCTAATAGAGACAACCTTAAAGTTCCGTCGTGTTAGGCTCAAAGTCTGGGATTATGTGACAAGTCCCCGTGTCAGCGCCTGGTGTGGTCTTTCTTGAGCTGGAGGTTTATTAGGAAACTTACAAACAAAAACAAATAGACTAGGAGCTGGGTAACTAGGATAAATATCCCTGTCTGAAGAAGAAAAGAATGGAGGGCACAAGAAGCCACTGACCGCATCGATTCTGAAGTCATACTGGGGTGTGTGGTAAGCACCCCTAACATGGAGGCGGGAATAGTTCTCATTTAGGCCCCAGTCCGTTGCTCTGCATGACTCTTGAGGCTCTCAGCTCCATTCTCTTGGAGGTGCCTCCATTTCCATTTATGTTCTTTCATCATAGTAGAGAAGTAATTGGAGAGTATGCTATGCTTGAGGACCGATGAGCTTTCTCAATCTGCTTTCTGCTCCCTGAAATCAAAGGGGCATTGCCATTCTCAAATGGTAATAGTCTTTCTTAGTCTAGATTCATGACTCTTTGGATGTTATAGTTCTCCCAAGAACTGAGTCAGCTTTTATTAATTTTATTGATAAAATCAATATCGATCAACAGCTGTACCAACAGTTTCTTTTTTTTTTTTTTAAATTTTTTTTTTTTTTATTTGAGAGAGAGAATGAGAGATAGAGAGCACGAGAGGGAAGAAGGTCAGAGGGAGAAGCAGACTCCCTGCTGAGCAGGGAGCCCGATGTGGGGCTCGATCCCGGGACTCCAGGATCATGACCTGAGCCGAAGGCAGTCGCTTAACCAACTGAGCCACCCAGGCGCCCCCAACAGTTTCTTTTGAGATATGCCCCATCTTTCTTTCGTATTAGTTTTCTGTTGCTACTCTAATGAATAAGTGTAACAGCTATATCTTTAACAATAGTTAACAATAGTCTTAATACAGATTTATTATTGTACAAGTCTAGAGGGCAAAAGTCCAAAATGGGTATCACTGGGCTAATATCAATGTGTTGGCAGGATTATAGGTCTTTTTTTTTTTTTTTTTTTAGAGTTTCTAGGGGAAAATCTGTTTTCTTGCATTTTCCAGCTTCTGGAGGCTCCTTACATTTTTTGGCTCAGGGCCCCTTTCATCTTCAAGGCTGGTATGTGCATTTCTCTGCTTCCCTCATCACATTTCCTGCTCTGATTTATCTCGTCTCCTTTTACTTACAAAGACCTTTGTGATTGTATCAGTCCATTCAGATAATCTCATTTAAAAATTCTTAGCTTAATCACATTGCTCTGTAAGGTAACATAATATTCATTGGGGATTATTAGAGACATGGTCATATTTAGGAAACATTCTGCCTACAACAGGTATCTTGTAGTTGTCAGATGTTCATGGGAGAGCCATACCTTTAGTCTTTTTTTCCTGAACCATTTTGTAAAACAGAAGAAATCTGTTCACTGTCTTAATTAATACGTAGCTTTTTTTTTCTTTTTTTGTTCAAAAGCTCTAATTTGGTCTTTAAAACAAAACAGTTTTAATCAGCCTTTGTTTTTAGTAACAAAGTAAAAGACAACTTGCATCTTTTACTTCTGCAAGGCCTGGAATTTCTAGACTTTCCTCTGGCTCCCCCTACCTCTTGCAAATTGGCCTTCCCCCCCCCCCCCCCCCCCCGTGTTCATTTCCTCCTTATAGCACCTTGCCAAAAAACAGCCAACAGCAACCAGTTCATGCTAGCAATATTATTTTTCCCACTTCCTTGTTTGAAGTCACAAGATGTCCCCTTCAACGTATTGGAGGGGACAGTTTTACCAGATATTTGCTCCTGCATGACATAGATTATTTTCTTTCTCCAAAAATAAGTCTGTTTGCCCAGTATCTGGTACTACATATTTTAGGGTACTGTTCTGGCTGTGTTCTATTCCTATAACAATTTCTCTGTCTGGTTAGCTTTTACTAAAATAAATTATAGTAACAAAGACTGTAGAAATTTCAGTGGCTTTAACAAATATTTATTTCTCATTTATGGTACCTGCATATCATGTTTTTTTGACTGCACCTTTTTTGGTATCTTATTCACTAGGGTTAGTATTTGATGAAAAAGCCCCACGTGGGAAATCCTGCGCTTTTGGCAGAAGGAGACATTCAAAGACACTTCTGCTGAGAGGTGCCTTGTGACACCTCTAATGACATGTCATTGATCAAAGAAGTTCATGTGGCCAAGCCTTATATTAAGCACCCATGGATCTGAATCATGGTCCTTTCCCTTACTAACTCTTGACTGTGGACAGTTTTCCTCACTTTTCTTGAGATTCTGGTTCCTTATATTTAAAATAGAGTTAAGAATGTCTGCCCTGAAATTGAGTTAACATGACATTGTATATTGTGTAATTAACTAGGCTAGTGTAAGACTCTGAAGTATATGGCCCAATAACCTGAGCAACATGAAAGATTTTACACAGGGTAGACTTCTCAAATTTTTAATGGCAAAGAGGAATTGGAGTTGATTAAAAAGAGGAAAGAAGGCATTCAGATGGAGAGTAAACATTTGCGGTGACACAGAATGTGGGAACAAATTCTGTACAGTATGGCCTTTCAAGAAACATTTTAAAGGGCTAGAGAGTCAGCCAGGGAGGAACAGAGGAATGAGTTTGATTAGATGGACTTGGTATGTGATAAGTGTTCAGTATCCATATTTATCTGTATTATCCTAAGAGTGGATATGATATTTCTGGGACAGAGTAAGATTATTTATTACTTAACTGGGCCTGTCCTCCATGCCTAAATTTCCCTTTTTGAGAGTAGTGAGATGAAGGCCAGATGTCATCCTATACATTCTGGGAACTGCACTCTAGGTGAGGAAGCCTAAAATAAAGAATCTGGGGCTTATAAAGAAAAGGAACAGTTGTCCCCCATACTCTCTTGGGAGATGAGGAGAAATCTTTGCTCCCTAGTGTAAACAAATTCTCCTTAAGGGGGATCCTGAGTTTTTATCCTTTGGAATGTTAAATATAGGTCTCTAGTGAAAAGAAAACTATTATCTCTGACATTTCAACCTAGGGTTTTTTTAGGGTTTTATTCCTCCTTGAAAATATAAACACTTAGCTCCTAGAAGGTAAATCTCTCAAGAGTTTCATGATCAATTCAGTTGTAATTTAGCTTTGTCTTTTAGCCCAGGCAAGTTTCAGTAAAATTTGCTCAGCAAGCACTAAAAATACTAACTGCAGAAACATTAAATTATGTTCTTCATTGCCCCGCAGTATGATGTGAAATGGTGCTGGGGCTGAAAGGTAGTGGAGGGCGTATTTAATATGGCAATAGCAACAATATGCAAATTCTTGTGTAAGAGAAATTTCGTGCTCAAATTAAGTTTGTTTTACATGATTTTAGTGGAAAAAGAGAAACTAGGGACACATAAATTTTAAAACTGT